GGAATCGAAATATGGCCTTATAAGACATATTAGACATATGATTACATGTGATGTTGTTGCTGCCCTTTGCAGATATTTGATCCTTTCTAGATTAGACTACTGCAACTCCTTATTGTATGGGGCCTCACGTGCATCTCTCAGAAAACTACAGACTATCCAAAATAAAACTGCTAGAGTGATATTTAATAAACCTCCTCGTTTTAGTTCTTCCATTCTCTTTCCAATGCTTCATTGGCTTCCAATTTCCGCTCGAATCATCTTAAAAATTGCAGTCCTTACCTTCAAAACCCTTTTATTAAAATCCCCAACATATCTATACGAGGTTTCTTAAACAATCCAGTTGCCTGATCCCGTCTGGCTGGCCGCGGTTTTCGTCACGCTGCTCCGTATGTCTGGAATGCGTTACCTCCTGAATTATATATATATATATATAGCTAACGTACAGAAGTATGTATGTAATTTTTATGTCTGCAAATTGTAATAAAAATGTTTTTCGCATACATGCTTATAATATAACCATATATATATAGATATATGTATATATATATATATATATATATATATATATATATATATATATATATATATATATATAATGATTTAATGTATTTATGTGCTGCATGATATATGTATATATATATATATATATATATATATATATAACACAGTGCTGAGTGGTTGGTTAAAAGTGATGGCATGATGTGTTGCATAACTGCTGAAATTAAAAATACTTACATATATCACGCATAATTCATTCACTGCCAATTTATGTAGAAAAAATTTACTATTAAACATTATCTGGATTTGTAAGATTTTTAACTTCACGTGGTGCGGCATTCGTTGAACATTCAGCTAACGTTAGCAAGTCTGTTGATTAAATTAGTGAGATAAGTTAGTTTATGATCGCCGTAAAGATAGTGTAATGATGTGTTGTGCAGTTGCAAATTGTTCTGCAGATGATGGCGATGACTCGGCGATGTTTGTTGGTGATAGAAAATTTTTTAAAACCAGTGCTAGGGTGATTGTAACAATAACTGAAAAAATTTACATTGAGTGTTTTTTGAAGATGTTACAGTAAATGTTATTTAATTTTATGTTTTCGTTGTTTTACTATTCCTACTCTTGAATGCAGTTTTATGACCAAACAATCAGACTTCATTAAACACCAAAAGATGATTGCATACTTCTCCTTCGTTGGCTTTCTTCCTTTGTCATTTATTATCTTCTGGGGAAAAAAAAGAAAAATTACTCAGCAAAATTAATTTGTAAAAATAATGCAAATTTTTCACATAGAAAATTGTTAGCGAAAAATAATATATCGAATTTTAAATAATTAGCAATTGTTTGAGTCATTTAACGTAATGAGGTTTAACGAGATGCAAATGATGACTATTATCGTAATGTTATGTTTGTGTGATTCACGAAATCATTGCTTTATTCTTTGTATCGAAACGATGCTTATCAAGTTATATCAGATAGGTAAGTATCTTTTCAAAATGAAAAGAATGAAATTCAAGTGCGTAGTTTTCAGATTGTTACAGATTACTAGGCATCGTTCTCATTGAAATTATTTAAAATTGTTTGTGATAAATGGTCACCGAAGATAATGTTGGATGGAATTCTATGCTACTACTGGTCGTTTGTGTTAGTGTGTAACGTAACTGTAAATAATGAGCATCACATTCTGTTAAAATGTCACATTTCTAAAAAAATTTGTGCTTTAAAAAAGACTAAAAATTAACCAATTTTTTAAAGAAAGCTAAAACAAAATTATGGAATAAAATTATGAGCTAAAAGTGATTTACTATTGAAAATGTTGGATCGGCTTTCCATGAACTTGATAGCGAAATCGTCCGCCCCCGTAATGATGAACCTGTGTCTGAACACATCGATGACTGCACCCACGTAGAAATCCTGAGGTCCGTAATAGACTGGACGGTCGGTTGTGCTCCCTGGTTTCGCTACGCGGGACTTCTCTAAAAACTTCCCTCCTTGAATGCCCGAGTTCTTCACTGGAGGCTCGTAAATAGTTATCGTGTCGTCAGCCAAACGGTAGGAAATTATGAAGCGGCGAGTAAATTCCGATTTCATCGCTTCCTATTTAGTATTTTGCAAGTGGCATTCCGAATGTTTGATGTTTTCAAAAAAATTTAAACAAAATTAATTTCAAGTCGAAATACAAATTCAACACAATCAAATATTTTTAGCACCAAGTGATATTTATTTGAAAATTACCACAACGACCATTTTTGCTTCGTATCTGAGAACGACTCCATCCCAATTCATCATCTTGATCAGGTCTTTTTTTGGAGGTTCGAGTACCAATTTCTCAACGGACTGCAAGCTGTCCTCCAGTGTGCCATACCCAGTGTACTTCTTTTAACGATTTGTTGTTTGTTGACATTATTGTTTAATATCATTTTGAGAACGTATTAAAACTTAAATTTCCAAAACTGGTGTTGATCACAATTTGACATGGAGTTGATACTTGAAGCAAAAATGTAAACGTAATTTTTGTAAAATATAAAACTTTAAAATGAAACCTGAGATATTTTACAAAAACTACTTACTGGTAGTTCGGCGCCATTTTCTTGAGCAGTCTGAAAAAAATTAATATGGAATTTCATATAACTTCTTTAACTTATATCAACAAAAATTTCATAAATTTTTGATTAAAATGGAAAACGTGTTGAATTACATAACGCATGTAATCAACATTATTCAACAATTTATCAAAGTCGTAATTTTCGCATTAGTTATTTTACTGATCATTTTGACAAACTGCAATGTTTTTCCCTAATCAAAAAAGTATTGAATTAAATATGCAAATGATATCGACATATTAAAATAACTTTGCGATGATGCAATTCCTCGGAGTACGGAGTAAAATCGGTTAATCCATAGTTCTTCCAATAGAAGGCCTTTGTGAAATCGTCACAGTCATAAATCAGAAATGGTCTGTTGTACAACAAAATTGTTCTACCAATAGCAAAATCTTTAGGAGAAAAATAATCGTGAATTTCATTCTCTGTGAGTTCCAGGACGATTGACGGAAAATTCGAATCGACGGAATTCCTATTTTTAGGAATTCTTTGCCGAGAAATTAAAACGGAAAAGGGATCGTGTCCGTCGTTTTTTGTGTGCACCTCTCGTACTTCAACTGTGTCGTTCACAAGGTAATACTGTGGTGAATAACATATATTCAAATTTTATTTATTTAATCAAACCAATAAACAAATTATGGCAATGATCTAAAGACCCAGAGTAAAAGAAAATAAATTCTTGTCTGGCAGGTCACCATATACAAATTTTTAAATAAAATTATCTAACAAATACATTACTTTTTTATTCCTAGAAACGTCAAAACAAAATTAGCATAATACACGATTTACACGAATACTTACATTAAATTCAACAAAACTTCGAGATGCAACAATTTTTAGTTGACTTTTTACAAAAAGATATAAAGATTTTATGATATTGTTATAAAATGCAATTTAATTGGAATTTATTTGAAAAAAATTACGTGTAAAATAAATTTTCTTCGCTCCTTTGAAGATGCTCTTTGATCATCTCCAATACAGAAAAATCTTAAAACTTTTCTATCGAGGTCAAGAAATCTTTTTAACGATTCCAAATGATTTGAAGGCGGGTTGATGAAAGATTTAGATTTCATTACATCGGATGTTTCACGGCTCATGATGTACGGATCGTCAGGACACTGCTCTGCCGGATTCACTTCAATACCTTCACTCTCCAAATATTCCTGCATGTGCAATTCAGATGAATTAATTAATTATTCACAGTTTTAAACACGGATTGCAACAAATTACATGTAATTTGTTGTAATCAGGAATATTTTTGTTCTTCATGAAAATGTTTTTTTTTCATTTAGTTGACTTATGGTTGATTGCACCGCACCGACAGGCGCAAATGTGGAAGTAAAATAACGCAAGCAAATATGAACATGGGCATTTAAAATTTAAGTACCACACAATTATTGCCAATGAGCGGATATAAACATATGACTATAATTTATTAAATTAAGTTAATTAATTTTTCAGTATTTTGAAGGATGAAATTAAAAAGCAAAACGCTGAACGCGTTGTTCTATGATTGCCAAAAGATTTCAGACTTTCAAAGGCGTACATGTAAAATATTCATATTTCTAAACCAATAATAAATGAGATCAAAAAGAATTTGAGACAAAAGTTTAAATGAAACAAACGTGAGGGAGTTAGTAAAATGAATTAGTAAAATGAATTAATAAAATGAATTAGTTGAATAAATTAGTAGGTGCAATCAAATATTAATTATGGTAAACATTATAATGCAAATAATAGATTTAACAAAGTAGTAGTGAAAACATATTAAAAAGATTAAAATAAGGAAAATTTTATTGAATATTTACAACAGACGCTTTTATTTATCTCACTGATAGGACCATTGGTGGATTCTGATAGTTTTAATGAAACCTATAATATGCTAATTACCCCTTAAGAAAAAAGAAATTATAAAACATTTTTATTTCAAAAATGTCAATTTTTCTTTTTCAAATTTTTATATTTATATAAAAATAAATAACTAATTTTAAATTAAAGTTGAAAGTTGTTTTGAAAAGTTTTAGTTTTTGCTGAATTAAAATGGTTCGTTCTGTCTTAATGCAAATTACACTCCAGTACAAAAGTGTTGCACGCCTGAAATGTTTGAAAAGTTTAGCAAGTAACGAGGAATGAAGTAACTGCGTAGGAATATATGAATATATACATGTTAATTAATGTTTACTTTAAAATTATCTATACTTTTTTTAACTTATACATGATGAAATATCTTGAAATAATTGTTTCATAAACTTAATATACATGATTTACAACACCTAGCGATCCAAACGTATTTTTCTATATATACAACAGTTGTGCGCAGGCTAATACATCCTATTTTATAAATATGTTAATACCCTAATACCCCTTACAACTCTCGAGATGCTTTTTATGATGCGATGGCCTAAATATTTTATTCTACATAGATTAGGACGTTTTTAAATTTTTCTCGTAAGAAAACCCGTGATATCATAACTAACGCCCAAATACAAATGAAACTATTTGATTGCTAACTGTTGTCCAAGCATCACAATCGTAAATGTGAAAAACTCTTCCAAAGCAATTTATGTTTCTCCCATTGTTCAGATCCTTCCACGTGTAACTTCCACCTTCATTGTTTTTCGGTATCTTTTGCCTTTTTATCATTTTTCCTAGAAAATATGTTTATTTATGAGTTGGCAAAATATTTTCCAGTTTTAATTAAATTCGCGTGATAACCTTGATTCAGTCCGCTATTTGCAACGACAGGTTCATTGACGACCATTGTGCCATCTTCCAGATAGTAATATATCTGTACTTTTCGAATTCGGTAATTTTCGTTTGGAGATTCCGCTACTGTTTCCTTGAACCAGGCTTTGAAACTTAACACCTGTTAATACCAGCAATATGTCAGGGTTAGGGTAAACTAAATTGTCTTAAGAAAATTTAGAAATAAACCTTTTTATCAAGAGCCACAAAACTCGGCATAAATGGTTGTGGTGGTGCAGGTTTTGATTGTCCGTAATATAATTGTGGATTGTAATTGTTTACGCTTATCAGTTCGTGTATTTGGTTGGTCTGCAGTGGGCTACCACCAGTATCAAGGTCAGGTTTTTTCTGGACAGCGTATCCATTGTTGAAACCTAATGTGTGGCTTCTATGGTAATTACTTTTCTGTTTAAAATTTTAAATAGTTATATTAATTGTATTTGCAATACGGAACAAAATTTAAAAATAGCATTGAATTAAAATTGAAATAAAATAACAATTAAATGATATTTTGAAACTTATCAAGGTTAATATGCCAACTGCAAAATCGAAATGCTGATTTCCCGGCAAAAAGGGCAATTTGCTGTTCATTATAACGCAAAAATAATTTGCTAATGAAATTAATGCGTCTTAGACGGTCCCAAGAAACGAATGAAGACACGGGAGAGCGAGCACTTGTTATGCTGCTGTCATGACGACCAGTGAACGTATAGCTGATGTACAACGCTTGCTCTCATGAATTCAGCTCATATTATAAAACAGTAAATTTGAAACCATAATTAAACTAATGTATTAAAGATATTTTAAAATTATTTGCCTTTTCTTTTATGTTTTTGTGTTTTTATATGTTTTTAAGTTTTACATATTGAATTACACGCAGGAACTGAACTGAAGCATTTGATCTGAACATTGACCTGGAAGCAGTTACGTCATTACACCGTATTTTTCCGTTGCAAACCATCACCTGCTGGAGTTCCATCAATTATAGTAAATGCGTGACGTCATTGTTTCCAGTAGAGCGTACCATGGGAGAGATACGTTAGGGAGGGCAATTCCAGTTTAAAATTTCACGGTTTTTTATTTTAATTTCAACCTGTACCTTTGAAAATATACTTTGTTATTAACTATTGAACTAATTTTACATTTCAATCTTATGGATAGTTCTGACTAATATTACAACTCAGTGGTTATTGGTAATTCGGAAAAATTCCCTTTATATTATATTCAATTTTTCAACTATTTTTGAAAAAGGAGCAAGTTAAACCATCAAAAACTGTTGAATAATGTACGAAAGTTTTGACTTCAAAAAAATCCTACAGCATATATATATAGAATATAACACACACACATATACATATATATAGAATATATAGAATGTATATATTCTATATATATGTCCTACAGTAACATTCTAAAATTCCATGTAAAATATAGAGGCTGTGTAACTAAATTTTCTATGGCATGACTTAAATGATTGGTTAAATTTAATTCTCAAGCTGTTTTACCAAATCGTTATAAAGTTTATAAGGCAACCATTTCAACGAAAGAGCAACTCAAAATAAAAAGATTAACAGCTCATAGAATTTGAGTGATGCGATCAGCATAATTAAAAAATTTTCAACTTTCGCCTTCTGTATTAATTTTTAATAAGTAATATATATATATATATATATATATATATATATACACTTATATATATATATTTACACTTATATATTAATATATAAATGTATGTATATACAAATACATATATATACATTTATATTCATTTATATATATATATGACTTGACCTAGGAGCGTTTAAGTCGTTATATTCTATAATAAGTTAGCTAGAATTAGCACTAAATAAAACAAATTTTTTATTTAAATAGGCAAAATTTTGTTTTTGTGTATTTTTGATGTTTCCTGATATGCGGACAACGTTCGTGAGCCTCGTAAAACGGTCTGGAGGGCCGCAGTTTTCCCATCTCTGTTTTATTATAATTCTTATTATAACTGTCATTATTTTTTATAGGTTACTAACACATACTTAGACGGAATAATAGGTTGTTCGTTGCAAGAATAATACGCTGAATTATATAGTTCAGTGGAATAATATAACCGGTAGTGTAAGTATTTGATTCTTTATTAATAATTTTGGATTCAACTATAAAAGGTTAATAATTTGTGGTAGATTTTCTGTTAGTGGAATAAAATGAAATATTGGATTTGTTTAAGAAATTTATACCTAAATATGGTTTGGTCGAGCGTTGTACATTTCATAAATATATTATGCTGCACTACTTGCACTATTAAGTTTGTATTACGTTACAATCATTGAATTACATGTAGGAAGTGAAATGAAGCGCACGTTGTCCTGGATGGAGACAATTACGTGATTCAGTATACTGTATTATTTACAATAAAATAAACGAATGTACCTATAACGGGGAACGATCACGAGTCGGAGTCACTCCGCGCTAATTTTCCAACTACATGCCCTGCGTCTACAATGGTCTATGGATGCTGACGTCATTGCATTTCTTGCTTCCAGTACAGTGTACAATGGGAGAGATTTGGTAAGACATTTCAGGTTAAAATTCCATGATTACAATACAACTTATTGAAAAATTTATTAACACATTTAATTTAATAAACTTTTGTAAAAAAAAATTATGAACTTAGGTTAACTTTTTATTTGAAAACTTGTGTATTCGTGTTTCCGCTAAAAATTTGATTTCTCGTCCACCTTGTTGTTTGTAGCGACGTAGCTTAGTGAGTTGCATCGCGTATGTGCTGCTGTGCGTCTTCTTGGTTGGTGACATTTCTTGAATTAATTGCAGGATGAACAAGGGACAGATTTTAAACAAAGTAGAAGAGTTTGCCGATCAAGTCAGCACTTTCATTTCAAATTTCAATTTACAACTCTTAAAAAAAACAAAATGATTTTTTAACATTAAAATTAACATTGAATTTTAGTCTTTTAAAATTAAATGACTTGTATGTATGTATTAAGAATTATGTTTTATTATATATTATATTATATCTCATGAAATGAATTCGTTCTGATTTCAACTTTTAAAATTTAAAAGTGTGTCAACAGATTGTCTAATTCACTTAGTTAGTCATAAAAGTCATTAGTCAATTCAAAGTCAGAATTTATTTATAAACACTTTTTGCTTTTTTAACTTCATCTTTGTTTGAACTTTTTTTGATTAACATTGATTATATATCATTTTATTTTATAAAATGAGAGCATTTTAAAATTAAAATGTTTTTTAGATTTGTTTTAAAATGTTAACTAATCAAATTAAAAAATTACTTTCTCTGACAACATGACAGACCCAAATTCAAATACACGACAGGTCTTACGAAAGGGGAAACATTTTTTACCACATGTAGCTCGTTTATGCATAGTGAGCACGTTCATTGAAGATGGCATTCGAATGTGGTCTCAATGGGAGTCTCAGCGGGATTACATGATGCGCTTCTGGGACATCCACTACATTCTCGGCACGATCTTCGTTCTCGTCAATTTGTTTGGTCAACTGGGCGGGGCTGCAATTGTTCTCGGGAGGAAGTATGTCAATGTTGGAATCGCAGTTCTCTTCTTCGTTGTCATTTTACAAGTGAATTTAATTTGATTTATTTCAATTACAATATTCTATTGATTTGTATTGATCAATTTGCCATAGATTTTTCATTGAATAGTGAAATTTCTTGTGTTTTGAATTTGTAGTATGCAAACATATGGTATGTTCTATTTAATCAACATAGCAACACTCAAGGACTTATACTGATGGCGAGATGTCAATGTTGAAAGGTTTTAATGGGATGTGATGTAGTTTCAAAGCAACAATGACTATAATTATAATGATTCTAAAAGCACCAGACATGAGATAATGGATTAATTATTTTTCTTATTGAAATCATTGTAAATGAATTTTAAAGCATTCATTCATGAGTAATTTTTAATTGAATAATACAATGGTCTTTAACAAATCTTAAATTTATTTAAAAAAATATTTGATTTATTCAAGAAAAATTCAAATTATTTTTTCCTAGACAATTGCTTATAACATATTAATGGAGCCGAGATTCCTTCTTAAGTAAGACATGGAATTGCTTATTCTACTTATTATTTTGTTGATTGTGTTTATGTTCACATGCTCTTTTATTGTTAATATATAAAATTTGAATTAGCACTTTGTTCATTCTTTAATTTCGTTTCACTCTATAATTTCGTTTTAATGAGAATAGTCATTTACTCAAATTAACTTTATGTCTGGTTTTGCATATTTTAAATTTAGTTAAATCTTATAAACGAATTTAGCAATTTTCATAAATTATTACTTGCTTTCTTTTTCAGAAATCTTGCTCTTTTGGGAGGCCTGGTGCTGCTTGTTGCAGAAAACAAAGCCCAAGGTAAAAGTTTATTTGCTGGTCTGCCTTCGATGGGGGAGGGCTCGAGCAAGACCTACCTGCAACTCAGTGGTCGACTCTTGCTTGTTCTCATGTTCCTCACTCTCATCAAGGTAGATTTTTCAAGTGCATTCATCATCGTCAACATTTTTGGAGGTCTCCTAGCACTGCTCATAGCTATTGGTTACAAGACAAAGTTGGCCTCGTTAACTCTTGTTCTGCTGTTGAGCTCTTTGAATGTCTATGTGAACAACTGGTGGAGCTATCCTGCTGAAAGGTCTCTTCGAGATTATCTAAAGTATGATTTCTTCCAGACTCTATCCGTTGTTGGTGGTTTGTTGTTGGTTGTTGCACTTGGGCCTGGGGGTTACAGTCTTGATGAGCATAAGAAGAAGTGGTAGCTCAATTCAGTTGATTTTCTTCATTCTTCTTACCAGGTCTCTGTCTAACTAACTGGCTTTATCTTTTCAGGACTTATATCAAATTTGTTGTATTGTATATATATATATGTATATATAAAACTGTCAAAAATGCAATTATTGATGAAAATCACAGCATGTTTGTCGTTAGTTAACATCCAATTTAACTTTTCGATTTTTCTAACGGTTGATCGTAAATCATTTTCAAGTTTTTTTAGTTCAAAACCAAATTTTTTGTTTATTTTATTCATGATAGAACAGAAAAGCTTTTTTCGGTATTCATACTGTAGAGTAGAGGCACAGTAATATATATGAATATAATATATATATATATATATTCCTATACCATCTTTGGTGTTGAAATTGGGGTTAAAAAATATATATATATATATATATTTATATATATATATATATATATATATTTGAGCATCTGGTCACAAACACAACATATCAATTTCAACACCAAAGATGGTATAGGAATACCGAAAAACGCTTTTCTGTTCTATCATGCATAAAATAAACAAAAATTTTGGTTTTGAACTCAAAAAACTTGAAAATGATTTACGATCAATCGTTAAAAAAATCAAAAAGGTGAAGTTAACTAACCCCAAATATGCTGTGATTTTCATCAATAATTGCATTGTATATATATATATATATATATATATATATATATATATATATATATATAATATATATGTGTGTGTGTGTGTTTGTATGTATATGCGCTGTTTTTAATACTGTGTGCTTGTGTGATCGGTAACGTTGGCACTTTGGTTCGGTTAGAACCTAGTTGAGGTTGAATGATCCGTGTCTGAGTGCTTCTTGTTACTCCAGCCTAACGTTTGATTTTATAGAAATTCAAATGAGGCTCACACTAAACAGTCCTAATCAGGAAGTTTAGTACAGATTGTTGATTGCATAACATTTGCCTGACCATAACTTGTTAGCTGAATTGTTGCATGTTTGTGCAGTGCATCATTAAAACAACCATATAAATGTACATTTTCATTAACCTATTGTTTTTCATGCAAATTTTTTTATTTGAAAATATTTAAATTTTTGAAGAAAAAATCCTGTTAATTTATTTTTTTTAACTTTATAACATTATTTGAAAATTTTAATTTTGTTAAGGTTAATGGTTTTATTATTTTGTTGATGCTTGTCATTATGTGCTGTTGTTAGTCAATCATTTCAGTTAGTAGCCTCCATTTAGCTGTGTTCGTGAGCTTAAGTGCTTGTGTAGGTTTCAGTTCTACTATTAAATTTTTTGCCTGTTGGACCATACTGCAAGATTTAAATATTTACATAGGTGAAATAACGAACTAAAATACGTGTTGACTTCATGACAAATGTTAAGATGTACATTTCCAGCTGATAAATGATTCAATATTTGTATTGTTTCATCTAGTCAACATAGTTTGTTAAATTCTCGCTTGTTATTTTTAATTAAATGTTTACGTGCAATTATGTTCTGAATTGCTATTGAAAAATTACTTTATGAACAAGACTTTTTAAAATTATAGATTTTATTTCACAAAATTCGTTACGTTATTCCATTCGAATTTAATAACTCACAGTTATCGAAAATAAATGACTTTCAGATTTTTTAGATAAATATTTAAATAAATATACAAGATAAAATCTGCTGTCAAGCAGATTATAAGTTTAAAATTTTGCCAATTATGGTTCTTTGAGCTTGTTACAGTAATATCTGACTTATCTTCAGTGGCGCCTTGTTTCTGCGCTCATGAACGGAATTGTTGCTCGAATAATTGATGTTGTTAGAACCGTCACTCGAAGTTCTAATTGTTTCTGGTGAGGTAAATATTTCTTTTTCACACATTTTAGCTGACCGATGATAACTGTTGAGTGGTATTGGACGCCTTCTTACTGCACTCGCATCTTCGTTGAAGGGCAGCATGCTTATAGTCATCGGCCTCCTGTTTATTCGCCCTAGACGGTTGTAAAAATCGGACTCGCACTTATTTGCGTTCTTCCTTTTCAGAGTTTCTTGATTCTGGTTGACATACAGATTTTGTTTGATTGGTTTTCCTTGAGCGAGTCGGTTTGACGGAAAGGCTTCTGTAGTGACTTCGTTAATGTTTGCTGTTGCTGAATTATTAAACTGGTCATCATTATAGCAGTAATTGTTTACAGTTGAATTATTAAATTGGTCAGTGTAGCAAGTGTTTACGACGGAATTATGGAATTGGTCGCCGTAACAGCAAGTACTCTCGGTTGAATTATTGTGTTGGTCGTTGTAATAGCAGGCGTTTTCTGTTGCTGAGTTATTAAATTGATCGTTACAAACACTCGTTTTAATGGCTGAATTATTGAAATGGTTATCGCAACAACTACTATCTGTTACCAAACTATTAAACTGTTCGTTGTAATAGCAATTATTTTCTGTCGCTGAATTATTGAATTGGTCGTTGTAATAAGAGCTTTCTCTCTTTTTCTCTTGGGAGTTGTGAAACGCTTGGTAAACGTAACTATTTTTTAAGTTTGGTGGAGCCATCTCTAGATTGTTGCTGCTAGAGGAAGATTCACTTCGTCCATAATCGTTAATGAAACTTTGACAAGCTTGTATATCTCTTGATGGTGAAATAGTGCCACCTTTTCTGCTACAAACTCTACATTTTTCATACAGTTTCATCGGGTTTTGGAATATCTCATTATGATCTTTTTCATTACTCATTGGCCCCATAATGTTATTTTTGAGCCAAGTTTGAAATGGCTTCGAATCTTTGTTTTTTCCGACTACTCTTTTTGATTTCTTCTTTTGGTGCACTAAACTAGATGTCTTGCCTGGGGGTGCTTTTGTTTCTTCATCCTGTTCTATTGGAAACATGTTTTTATATACTTGCACCTTTTCGATAAAATTTTTCATCTGTTTAGTTTCAGTATTTTTGACAGGTTCTTTCCTTAATGTTACTGGTTCGCTACCTCCACTTGCACTGCGTGTTTTATTTTGAATATTTAATATATGACTTTTTGATTTTTTCTTTTTGCAAGGGTAAGCATCATCTGGTAAAGAATTTTTGTAAGATGAACTGACCTTATCATGCTTCGTTTCATTTTTACCGTGGTGAACTTCATTTTTTCTAGGCTCTCGTAAAACATACCATGCATTTTTAAGCACTGATTTTTTTTTAGTTTCGGGTGCAGCGTCAAATAATTGGCTTTGCATTTTGTATTCGTTCATCTTTTTTTCAGTTTCTTCCATCAGTATTTGTAACAAGTTGTTTCTTAACTCGGCATCTTGTTTTTTTATTAAGCTTTTCAACGTTTTGTTGAAATCCTTTTTTGATGAATGTCGTGAATTGGTCTTTTTTTCATGAAATGATTCTTTTTCTAATGATTTGCGATCGTGGCGGTTAATTTTGCTCTTATTCTGTTGTTTCATTTCTTTTGTTTTCAAATCCTGGTTGTTAACGTCTCTTTCATCATCAAATGGACACAATTTTTTGATCACTTTCATTTCTCTCACGAATGTTTCTCTAGGAGATAATGACAGTGTCCGTGGATTGCTATCTGTCCCAGAGTCGCATTCAGAAATGGTTTTATTTGAAAATGACCTAATGTATTTAGATTCATCGTAGTTTGGAGGGGGTTGATCTTGATTTGTATTGCCTTCTCTTATGTTCAAAGAATTCGTTGCAGTTTTATTTGACTCCTTAAACCAAGTTTTAAGTTGTTCCTTTTCCCTCATTCTTTCTAAACCGTCGTAATTTGTTTTGATAGGCATTTCTTCATCCTTGAATGTTTCGCCTTGAAAACTCACTTTCGATTTATTTTGGAAATTAGATTCCGGAAAAACGTCGTCGTCCCCTTCTTTTTCTGAATCACACCTTCTGTAAAACTCATCAATTAAAGGTGTTTTATACCAAACTCGTTTTTCATTTATAACATTAATTTGATTTTGCGGCGATTCCGCAGGAAACTGAATTGACAATGGTTTCCTATTAATCGTGTGGTTGCATTTCATTTTGTTCCCATAGTATATGGGTATTTTTGAAATAAAAAGTCTTTTGCTTGGAGCAGCACTGTCATTTATTTTAGACGATTTTCTAAAAATTTTTTTTACATCTGCAACAATTTCTGAATTATTCGGGTGGTCATATCCGTTCTCATTTACAGTTGGTTTTGATTTTATGACTAATGGCACTTCATAGTGTTTTCTTCTGATATGATCATGACTTGATGCATTTGCTATATTTTGAGAACTGTTGTGATATCCAATGTTTGTTGGACTCTCGCGGATCATTTTTATCGGTTTTTTCTCGTATGGACTACTATGTTCATTATTGTTTTTGTTAATCGCATTCTTTAAATCTTTTTTACAGTTGGCTTGTTTAAATGCTGACAATCTGCTATTTCCATTATATTGATTCACTAATAATAATCCGTTATTTGTCCATTTGTTCTTGGAAACTTGAGCGGAAGAGGATTGGTTTTCATTTTCTTCTGCTGCATCACGTAAATTTTTAATTAGATCACTATCTATCTCAGTTTGTTCATCTTTACAACAAATGTTAACGGGATTTTCAACATGGATAGAAACTGAAGTGGCTTCATCACTTCCCGGTTTTTCTTCAACCACTTCTTCAACAACTGTGATGCATTTAGAAATCGCCTGAACATCACTGTCAGTAGTTTTATTTATAGCAGATGGCTTTGATTTCGTAAAGGTTTTTTTTTCAACATTTGCCTTTCCATCAGAGTCATTATTTTTCCAACTTAAACCTTTAGACATAAGCAAGAACTTTTTTGTAACTTTTATTCCGGCTATTTCTTTTGGATATTTGTTGTATAACAAACTTTCCCGGTTGAACATGACCTTCTTTGTCGTAAAATTACTAGAAGTATCATTTTGTTGCCTGCCTGGACTTTTTTCTTTTGGATTGTCATCAGCTTCTTTCGGTTCATTGAAGGAAACGGTAAATGATTCAAATTTTTTTTGATTCTTATGTATTTGTATAAAATCTTCATTACTAAAATTAGGCTCAATGGAAATCTGTTGAACGGCACTGAGAGAGTCGCCTTCAACGTTCTTATCCTTCCTAATTAAATCTTTTGTCTCTTTGTCGCCGCTGTTATCGTCGCCAGATCCAAGGTGTGCTGCGCAAATTTTATTGTTCGTAGAATTTTTGATGTGTTTGTTTGTCATTAATGACCTGGCGGTTTTTGAAGCGGTAACACGTAATGTTCTGTACCGTGGATGAAGGCGAATTTTTTTCATTGATCCGATGAATAATTGTTCACAAAGTTCTAATTTGATTTTTATCGATCAAATACACGTAAGTATATAACTAAATATGGATATATTTGGAAAAATATACAACTTTCATTCCTTATTGTTTGTAAACAACTTTAATGAAAAAATATCAATAAAAAATTACGTTGCAAAGTTATTAAATTGCATGAAAATGTTTGAAAGATCAGACAAGGGTTCCGAAATTATGATGGAAAATTTACCATAAAGAAAAGCATTTAAAGACATAAATGAAACTGTATCATTATAAAGAAAAAATGAGGAAAATAATGACAAGAAATTCAAACAGGGGCGTTAAGGTGGCCTTGTACGCCTTGTAAACATAAAAGAAGCAAAACTGTTTATTTCATGAACAAAATACCCACCACAAACTTTGACATTGTTAAATAGAAACAAGAACATTAGCAACATTTAAAAATAAAATTTAAAAAACAATGAGAAAGAACCGACTGAAAAAATATGTAAATCAATTTTGAAAACAATTTTAAAAAATTGGCGTGAAGGTAGCCGAGAAACGTACTGGAACGCCGTCAAATAAGGAATCAAGAAAATTATTGTGATTAAATTTTTATCAACAATTCACCACTGTTCTTGTCAAAATACTGAAATTAAAAATTTTTGTCTCCTAAATTGTTGTGTGGCAATAAATTTGACATTGTTTTCATATTGTTTTGATTTGGGCAATCTGAAAATATGATGGAATAAAATGGAGGGTTGTCTTTGAATCGAGGTGACTTAGATGGCGTCGTTTCAATAGTTGTTGACGTGGTTTGAGACTTTTTAATTTTGCTGTTGAAGTTAGAATTGCTGACGCAAAATGGAAATACTCTTGACGTCGTTCCACCATAGAAAGGTTTGGCATTCACATGTCCGCTTACTTTTGAATATTCATTCGTCTCTACAACTATTTCTGATTTTGATGTTAAGTCGACGTCAGAGCCTATTATTTTATGTGCATTATTCCAACTTTTTCTCCGCCATATAGCGTAGATAGCTACACACAAGCACACAATTGCAAATACAACAACGCTTATTAATGATACAAGGGCCAATTTTTGGTTTTCATCGTGTTCCAAAGTGTAATCATCAAAGTTATTAAAATCGATGCTTTGTGCTTTATAGTTGGGCATCGACGTCTGAAAATTTTGATTAATTTTAATTTTCATCTACTCTATTTTGAAATGCCAATGTTTTAATATTTTTATAATTAACATTTATAGAGAGAATAAATTTTCAACAGTTGTAGAAACGTACTTGTAGCGGCATAATTAGTGAAAAAACTTTTTCCGATTTTGTAAATTCGTTTTCGCCAACGCATGTATAATCTCCCAAACTGTTCATGGTGACGTTTGTTATTATAGCCGTGCTTAATAATCTGCTTTCGTGAGTTCCCGCGGTCCACAATTTGTTCAAAGTAGTTTGGAAATGTTGCGATGTTGGATAGGTTCCATCTCTCAGCCAGTACACTTTGGGTTCTGGTTCACCATAAACCAGGCATTCGAATGTTGTATCCACATTCGCCTTGCTTTCTATCGTTGATTTTCCTGTATATGTAAAATAAATAATATTGAATTGCTTGTTTTGTTTTGTTTTATTTCCAACTACAAAATATTTTAATTCACCAAAAAATTGATAATATTTTTACAACACATAATTTACTGATAAAAATTTTAAAAAGTCTCTAAGCCAACCGACGGCAATAATTGTTAAGGGGCAGACGAACTGTTCTGCCTTCAAATCTCTCCAATGACGATTGATTACTTGTTGAACTCCAGTTTGGCAGGTCGGTCCTCCTTCGTTATCTATCCAAACGGTCGGAGCGGCAACCAGCCACGCGCGCAACCACTTCATCTCGCAATCGCATTTCCACATGTTTCTATTTAGTTTGAGAAACGAAATTTCTGACTTTGTTAAATATGGCAGTATGTCTTTGTTTAATGTCACTAATTTGTTGCCAGCTAAATTCAGTGATTTTAATCTGTTGAAATTTTTGAAAAAATCAACTTCCAAATGGGTTAAGGAACAATTTTCCAAGCTTAATTCGGTTAAATTTTGTAATAACTCTAAAAAATTAGGATTGATCAGTTTTATTGGGTTGCCATCAAGCTTGAGTTCTGATAAACTTTTAAGAAGTGCAAGGCAGTCGTACGGCACGTCCTTCAGTTCATTATTGCTCAAGTCTAAAATGCTCAAAAATGCCAATCCGTTGAATGCATTTTTCTCGATGAATTTAATTTTGTTGTACGTCATTCGAAGTTCATGCAGGAGTGGGTAGAGTTTGAAAGAGTCAGACGTAATCCTGCTGATATGATTGTAAGAAATATCAAAAATTTTTAAATCATCCCTCAGAGTATTGGGCACAGATCGGAGGGATCTGTTGTTGCAGTTCGCCGCTGCCATGTTTTTTATTGTTGAAACTTTGCAGTACGACGCGCAATGAGCCACAAATGACATGAAAACTAAAGCTGAATAGAAATGATTGAGCATGTTTTTCTATTTCAACTCTTGAAAAGTTTGCAACGTTGATCTGTTGAAAATAAATTTTATACATTCGTTAAGATTCAACAAAAGTGAAACTATAAATTATTAAGGTATGTAAACACTAACAATTAAAATTTGGTTAACGTAATTACTTGCTAACTTTTGTTATTAATCGCTTACTAGGCAATTTGTAGCAAATGAAAACAGTTTTCAATAAAAATTATTTAATAATGCCCAGAATGCATTTGTGCAGACGTTCAAGAATGACGTCAGTACTTGCAAACACTTTATGGAAAAAAATTATGAATACCAATAAAAATAATCAATGCATACAAAATATTGAAAACGTTTTGTGAAAGAATAAGCAGACATGCATGAGAAAAACATTCTGCAAATCGCTCATCCGAAATTGTTTTTGCAACGAGACAATTCTCGGCAGAAATATAATTCACCTCTTGTTAAATTGACTACTCGGTCCATCGACCGAGTTGCAGAGGCCGTATAAACAAGGAAATCAAAATAAATAAAAAACCCAATGAACGAAAAACAAAATAAATGAATGAATAAATAACAAAACATTGTAAAATAGTGAGAAAAAATTGATTGTTACCAGAGCGTCGACGCCGGTCTAATGAACAAAAATTCTTTGACACAATGAACATTTTTGTTTCCATAAAATCATACAAAGGGTTCGCATTGCTTTCCTTAAACTTTCTTACCTGTTCGTTTGCAATTATAAACTTTTCTTTCTGGCATACTTTTACTCATCGTGTTTTATTATTTGCAATAATTTATTTGATGTCGTGTGAATGCACTTGAAGGATGGAACGCATTCGATGGAATGCATTTATTGTTTCACCTTGCAACGATCCTAACACCAAATATGCACATGCCATAAAAAGAGCAACTGATAAATGTCAATAAAGATTTTATTTCTATCTCTGATTAGGTTCTTAGACATCGTTCGCATTCAAGTTCCGCCTGCATTTTTGTTCTTCTGCACATCCACTCCGAGCTTCGTTAATTAAAAAATTCCAAGTCAAACAATCGTAAAATGGCACGTGTTTTTTAGCACAATGTGTTTAATAAAATTCCGTTATTCCACGTTCGCGCGAAATTTTATTTTATTTTCATTATATGAACGACTCATCAACATGCATGCATGCGGAATTTCCAATGCAAACATCATAGAGCATTTTTATTGTTTTTTTTTGTTGAGAAAGACAACAATGCTGATCAGAGGTGACTTGATGAGATTTTGTAGCAATCTTTTGCTTTAACGTTTATTATTTTTGTTATTAGCTTTTCATTCAAATGAATTCATTTGAATTCAGCAACAGAGAAACTGCGTGAAAAAGATGCAAAAACACAAAATGAACAAAATAAGGCATAAAGTAATTTACGGTAGGCCGCTAGAGTAGTGGCCGATAAAGAAGAAGAATGAGACACGAAGAAGAGAACATGCAATCAAGTTGCCACATTTACAAACAGCTTCTTTTTTAAATTTGCATTTGCAAATTTGCCACATTGACAAATTGGGCTTTTGGGTTTTGATTATCAAAGCGACTTTTCTGAACACTCTTATTTATGACCCACTTTTCAAAATCGTTGCTTTTATTTCAACATTTTTATTATTGTTGCTACTATTGTTCTAAGCATATTATTATTATTAAATTGTTCACAAAGCTGATTAAGAAGAATTAAACAAAATCAAATAGTTCTAAACATCAAATGATAGCAATAAATTTCTAAATTTCAAGTGAATCATTTTTTTTAATCTTTCAGTATTCTGGATAAAAAAAAATGTTAAATTAGAAGCGACTCGAATGAAGTGAATAATTAAAATTTTTCAGTTTTTAATTAAAAGAAATACATTATTATTACAATTAGAGAATAAGTAAGAACATTGTTTCTGGACATGCTGGCACGAAATATCGTATATTACTCTTTTTAACGTAAAGTCAAAGAAGAGGTCTGCCTTGTTCAACTAAATCATGTGAAGTATTTAAACAAATTAAATCAAATGACATCATAATCCAGCGTTTTGGAGTCGGATGAAAATATTTCCTAATCCAACTCCTTGATTACAATTCTTTAGATTCCGGCATGAGTAAAAAAATTTCCGACTCTCGAATCCGAGTTCGAACTCCCACGAAAAAGTTTTTAACTGTTGCTTTGTAATTTTACTTGAATAAGCTACACTTAAATAAACAAAAGATACTTCAAAAAATAACATTTCAAATCTACCGATGTAATTGTTTTTCATATTAAAATTAATTTATATTTATATTTCAAAATATACCAAAAGATAATTCATTTTTATTCATGACTTATTTCATTCTTGTGGCTGAAAAAACTGCGTTTTTTGCTGCGTCTCAGAGATGCCTTTTTTAAAATTGGTTGCACAGAGCGTTTGGTAGTATATTACCAGTTTTAAAGATGATTTTATATAGCTGTATACATCATGTATAAGTTCTAAAAAAGACAAGCTCTAAAATTTATTTTTGAATATAAATGAAATTTTTTTAAAACGTTTTTACCACTATCCGGAATCAACCCAGCCGTCCATCCTTTCGAGGCTGGTAAGTGGGTAGACGACGTAAGTTGTCGCATTTTGGCTGGCGAGGTGGCTCAGTGGTTCAAATGCGCGCTGAGTCAAACATCTCAATGGCTATCATATACTCAGTGTATATGATGCAGTGCTTGCGCGTGCACATAAAATACATGTGTACGTCGTGTGAAAAGAATAAACAGCCTTTGTGGCGAAAGATGGCTGCTTCATATCATTGGTTGAAGATATGAAGAACATAATCTATATATATATGCAACATTGTAAGTGGTTCTGCGTATGTCAGAGCTGCAATAATAAAGACTAATAAAAAAAAATAAAAAAATAAAAGTACAAGTTACAAAATAAAGCAATCTTATAATGAATGCTGCTGCTACCACTTTCAGCAAGATTTGTAATGTTAGAGTCTGATTGTCCATCACAAAAAACATTTAAAAAAATATAGAAAATATTGTCATTAAACATTTTTATAGAATACAATAATAACTTTTAAAAAATATGTAAAAAATTTTAAATTAAATAATAATAATTATTATTGAAAATACATTGTTATCTTTATTATTTCAATTCTCACTTTAATAATGCTCAGAAGTCACACATTTATACATTCGAATCGAACCGGGTCACAGCAAGAGCAGTGTCGGCAACCTTACAATACATGCGCTCGTGTAATTATTAATGAGTGTAGTTACAACAGTTGATGCCTGTATTCTCTCTCGTTCATGTCTGTACACGTTCATGTCGTACAGGACAGTGCACAGCACGTATGGCACCGAGGTTGCTTCACGGAACTCGTCTGATGAGGATATATTAGGGCTGTCGTAAACAAAGGCGAAGAATTGAGAAGTAGAGAGAAGGATTCGCCAACCACTTCATGCAGCATGGACAGAATAAAGAAAACAGTTCTTTGTTTGTTTGCCTGTTAACACCGTGAACGAAGTGAATTAAAGTTAATCGTAAAGAACGGGCAAGCTTAAAAGCAGGAGCGTGCTGGGAACTTATTTAATGAACATCATTCATCTACTGCTCTTGCTTGCTGCTACCTATCCAATCTTAAAGAATTTGTATTTGCTTGGTTGGTCGGTCGGTCGGTCGGGTCGGTCTGCGGTTAATTGGTCGGTTGGTTGGTTGTTTGTTTGGTTGGTTGTTTGGTAGGTTGGCTGGTTGGTTGGTTGGCTGGTTAGCTAGTTGGTTGATTGGTTGGTTAATTATTGGTTGGTTTGTTTGTTGGTAGGTTGGTGCTTGTGTGTCGGTTGATTAATTGATGTGTTAAATGATTGATAGATTAATTGATTAATAAGTTAATTCGTAAACTAGAAAGGTTAGCTAATAATTTAATTGGTTAATTTCACTTTGCAGCAGTGTATGTAATTGTAGGCTGTTGTTGTGCAGTCGGTTGTGTTATTGTGCATGGCCTGCTGTTATTGTTGATGTGTTTTGTTGTTTGTGGTGGTTTCGTTGGTTGTTGTTTATATTTGACAGTAGCTCTAAGCTTGAAATAAAATAACTTATTAGATTTTGTTATTATATAGTTTTAGTCAATACTTTTATCCCAGAAATTACTTTAAAAAAACATTTTGACAGTAAAAACGTGAACTGATTAACAAGAAAAAAAGGATTTATATGCGAGGTTTCAAATTGTGAATTTGTGAAGTCATAAAATTTAAAAACTAATTGAATGATGGTCGGACTGTTAATCTCATGAAGCGTTTTAATACGTCGGAGTAGATTGCTGGCTAATTGACGAAGTGGGCGCTACTTCACTTACGCTGGTGAGTTGTGTCGTCCTCCGAGCCATCATTCAATTTGGAAAATTATCCAAATATATTTCTCAATGTGTATTAACAAATTTTGTTTTTTAATTTTACGGGAAATAGGCGAAGATAGTTAAATTTACAACTTCGTTGTTGAAATTTCAGTTTGAAAACCTTCCTCTGCAAGTCTTCATCATGAAAGTTCCACCTCGGTATTACTTCATCACTTAATTTGGCATCCATCAATCCAACAGCTGCTGACAATAAAAGTGTTTCTTAATTGAATTTATGTTCATAATATACACAGCACTGACACCACAAGTCAACACGAACTGCACATGAGATGCCACAAATATGAAAATCAAGCAGGACAATCTTAACGACCGGATAGAAACTTTACAACCAACGAATAGCAGATGAAGCCATCAAGAAATTTAAAAATGAAGTTTCAAATAAAATAAAACCTTATCAACAAATCCATGAGAGCTCAAACAATATTTTAACAGACAAGTGATCAAAAACTCAAAAGCTAATAAGAACTGCATCAGTTTCTGATGTAAAGGACAAGACGTCATTAACACCGAAGGATTGGCGGAATATTTGTTGAACTGGCTTTCCAACCGCTTGTTTCAATAAATTTCAATGAGAAA